GCAAAGAATTTATTCCTGATATCTGATCTAAACCTACACTCTTTCACTTTTACGCCATTCCCCCTTGTCTTGTCTCTACATGTTCTTGTAAAGTTTTGCCCCATCTTTTGTGTAAGTTCCTTTCAGGCCCTGGAAGGCCACAATTTGGTCACCCCAAAGCTTTCTCTTTTCCAGGCTAAACAATCCCAACTCTCTCAACTTTTCCTTATAGGAGAAGTGCTCCATCTCTCTGACCAACTTGGTGGCCACCTCTGGACTTGCTCCAGGTCAATGTTGGAGACCCCAGAGCTGGATGCAGCACTCCAGGTCAGGCCTCACCAGAGTAGAGTGGCAGAACTACCTCCCTCACCCTTCTGGCCATGCTGCTTTTGATGCAGCCCAGGATACAATTGGTTTCTGGGCTACACCAACCCCTACAGCACAAGGCTTTGGCTTTCCTTGAGCAGACGAGAAAGTAAGCACTTTCCCCAGGGGCTGAGCAGAGAAGGCTGCCTCTCTACTGCTGCTGAGAAATTGACATTTCCTCCATTTGAGGTCTCCTGCATTTCCCCAGCTCCTGAGAAGCTGCAGCAGAAGGCTGCTCAATATGGCACTGCTGAGGACCATGCTGGTCCCAGAGAGCAATGCAGCAGCCTTGGGGCTGCTCTAGCTTCACCTTGCTACAAGGAGAGTACCAGAGAGAGCAGAGCCAAGCTCAGGCAGGGTGAGGTGGTTTGTGTTAGTGTTGTAGCACAGCCAGATTGACTGGCAGCAGCCTGAGTGAAGCTCTATTATAGCGGTCTTGTCAAGCCAGTGAGTCACAACTGCTGCTTTCCACTGTCCATTCTCAGCACACTTTAATGGAGAAATGAGGGCAAAAGAAAGAGCAGTGCTGAATGAAACAAATATGTAGTGCCTTTATTAAATTTTAAAATGGACTCTTCCTCAAAGTGCCTTTACAAAACACAAATGAAAATTTAGCATTATTTGTATAAATACATCAAAAGGAACAAATACTTTTTTAAAAACACTATTTTGGCTCAGTAAAATAACCTTCCATTCCTAAAGTCAGGGATAACAAGTAGCAGTTCTCCTTTCAGTCTCTTCCAGTCAGCAGAAGTAATTAGGAGGATTGAGGTCACTGGAACTCTGTTGGCTGGTCTGCATACTTCAGCTGTCAAGATGAAAGCACAAAGTCAGTGTTACATCCTAGTTCTCAGAGTACAAATACCATAATGCCAGTGTCTGGTCTTCACAGTTGATACAGGGATCTCCTTAAAGAAGAGTTTTTTGACCAAACCACACAGCTTCTGTCCTATTTGATTCTTCTATCAATGTGAACCGTAACAATTAGCCTTGTTCAGATGGATCTCAAGGCCTTTTTACCCTACAACAGGCTGCTACTGAACACACACCATATTTAAAGGCACACTGCATGAACATCTAAGTAAATGTGGCACTTCATGACTAGGACTGATCCTCCCTTGACACTTCTCTTGTGACTAAAACACAGAATGAGAAAGGACTATGAGCATCTGCATAGGTCATACATGACATTCATCAATAAAATACTTCAGTTTGAATTAGTCTGACATTCCAAATGCACTTCTTCCTCTTCTTGAAATGAAGGGATTCTTATTCCATTCTGGTCAAACACACACATAACTCAAAAAGCTCAAAAGGTACTGTCTCTTAAAAGCACTATTTCAAGTTTCCAGCACACACTGAGGAAACCAAAGTAATTTAGGTGAGAGAAGAACCTACTTCCACTGTTTTTGTCACTTATCAGCCAGAAGAGATTTGTTTGAGTATAGAGACATAAGACTATTGCTTGAGCCATGAAAGAAGAAAAGCCAACATTTTTGTAAATTAATAGATGAATTCTGAAGGTTGCAGAACATTATTTTTTCCTGACAAACATGTGGAGATACCAGAGGGAAAAATTCTGCCTAATACTGACTGTATTAGCAACAGCCTCCCAGAAGAGCTTGGAAAGTGATGGAGTTTGACACAAAAGCAAGTTGCTTATTTCAAAATAAAGGAGCTGCAAGAGAAAATATAGGTTGGAGTTTGAATGGGAGGAGAGCAAAAGGTGCTGCAAGAAAGAAGCTGATCGGACACAAATTCAGAGTTGCAAGCAACAGTAACAGTCAATTCCTTCCCTATACAAGATCTCAAAATCTAATAAAAGGGTAACTTTCAAGGACAGACTGAAATTACATGGGCAATTTGGCTCTCATCTCCTGTTTCCATAAAATTAATAGCTATAAACATAGCATTAAAGAGGTCTGATGAATGTTTTTAATCAATCAAATCAATTCCCTGCCCCAAAAAAAGAACAGATAATTGCAAACTACATCGCTGCCTAAAAGTCAAACATAACTTTAGAGTTAACACTTGGGGCATACAAAATACTATTAAAAATATTTTAAAATGAAAGAGAAAGGATTCAACATTTTACACAATTTCCCATTCCTTTTGCTTGGAAAGCTGTGACTGCAGCCTCTAGCACAGAGTCATCTCAGATTCCTTACATACCAGAGCAGAGGGAAAGGAGAAAAGGAAGCTGCTGCAAGGGGGAACATGGGCATCTCTCTCTGCCCCTTGATGTGGTCCTTAATGTAAGCTGGATGAAGTCAATCATCCTGTACCCTCCATGACAGACTCTGTGTCATTAGCCAGTTGTTCCACTTGGATAAATAAATGGATTAAGCCATTTAACTGGAAATAAAAAGTTCTCTATAGATTAATTTTTTGATTCAAATGGCATTGATCTTTCAAATGTAAAAAAGATCAGGGAAGAGTATTTAAGCTTTGTCAGGTTCAACAGCACTTTTGGAGGGCTGGGATTGTCTCTTACCTTTTCTCCTGGATGGTAACACACTGATGCAGTAATACGGGAATTTATCTTTCCACAAATTGAACAAAGCAAATAACAAACTTGTAACAAAGAAAAGGTTTGTGTCATTTCATTTAAACAAAAAAAAACCAACAACAAACATTTACTGGCATCAGCCGTGCACATTATGTAATATCACAACCATAATTAGTGTAATTCCCTTCATATTAAAACTTTAATTGCAGAACAAAAAAATCTAATTTTCTTCATTGGTTTCAATTTTTTACAGTTTTTTGTCCTTTCACTTTTAATACCAGGGAATTTCACAGAATCATTCTTGGAAAAATACTTGTGTACTTCCTACATGTGCTACTGACGTTATTTCAAGGTGTTCCGTTGGTCCAGCCTGAAGTAAAAAAAGATTCACATCTGCAGATGAAGCTGTAGTACCTTCACTCCAGTAAATCTGTATGAGATTGCACGAAACAGATACATGTGACCCTCAGTCAATCGCCAACTGTGTGAACTGATCAGTCGTTAAGTGTCATTTCTCATTTGTTATTTAAGGCAAATTCAAGTCTTTTGGCAACAAATGCAATCCTAATAAAGAGCCACTTTTTCTGGATGGCATCTGGTAGCGCACTTTCTTCCAGAATCTGGTACTTGCTGAGTGGGACCTTTCCAAGACGTTCCCTTTCCATCGGATAGCCCCATGCTTCTGCTTAATATATCTGATGGATTCTGGCATGGTTGCATAATCTTGTATTTTTTCAAGTTCAATGAGAATTACTTTAATGCTGTCTTGAATAAGAGCACTATGCATGGCTAGCTGCTTCTCAGACTCATCTTCCAGTATGCTGTAACAGGAGGGCTCTGGTACTAAAACAATTATCACTCTCCTACTTTGACGGATTTTTTCATCAGCAACGCTGATCACAGCTGTAGAGAAAAAGATAGTGCAAAATTAAGGTTGTACATTTCTATTTTCTGTTGCCAGTATTCTGCAGCTATTAACAGTTCATTAACTGTTTGATATTTAAGCCAACACACTTCATATCAAAATAGGGAGAGGATGTGAACATGCAAGCAGTTACCTTGGGTTAGCCAACGACAGAGATCTGGCCAATACAACACAATCTGACCCCATCAGAGTCTCTGTCTATATCCTTGTTTTGCAGAAACAGAGAAGAGCTACCAACTGTCTATTACTTATCTTGCTAACCATCATAAGTACAAATACAAAAAAAAAAAAAAAAAAAAGTTCCAGAACCACAGGACCTTTTTACTTTAAACAGTCTCTTCTGATATGCTCAATTGGTTTTATTACATGTAAGTGGAAGAGAAGATTCCCCCCATCAATGGCATTCCAGTCAATTAAGTTGCAAAAAATGGAATATGGTAAATACCACACATAAATCCCATGGCTAAACCCTGAAAACTGACTATTGCATTTTTTCAAGCTGGAAAAATTAAGCAGCACTTTAGATTTTACTTCTCAGGGAACTCTTCCTTCTCAAACCACTACCAAAATCTTCAACTGTAAAGAAAAAAAAAGTTAATTTGATGGTGAGAGATACTTAGAATCCCATCTAAGTAGGCATCTGACTGCCTGTTTCTCAGTTTATTTGCAGGTCAACAAGAAAACTCAAGTCAAATTTGTCTTCAGCTAACTTACCTTCTCCTGGTAAATCATCTCTCCCAAGTATGAAGAGGTTATATCCACACTGTCTTTCTAAGACCTCTGGCAGTATCTTCAGAGCAAAAATATCTGATGAATACAAGCAACTTTCTCTATTCTTTGGATACAGCACATAAGCATCATAGATCTTCTCATCTGAAACTAAGGAGTGAGCAACAGAACTTCCATAAAAATGAATTCTAAAGATATAAGAGCAAGCAAACAAACAATCAAACAAAATCTCTAAACTCTGGGGGGGTTTTCACTCATTTGAATCATTGTTTTAGGTCCTAATCCTGCTATATTAGCTAAACATGTATGATTAAACAAAGCCTGAAATATTTGTAGGATCAGGCCTTCTAGAATTCAGGATGCTGAATCTGAATGGGAAAAAGAGACATGCAAAATTAAGTTGTAACTTTCTCTTTTGAACACTAAATTAAAAGTGTCATCACTGAATTATTTGAAGAACAGTGGACTCAGTGGTACAACTGATACTTAGAATTCCAGTTGCCACATAACTCATAGGTGGTGTTGCAACCTGGAGTTTCAAACCACAGCAGCCACTTAGACATGACGACAAAAACAAAGTGTCAAATTTCAAGATCCAAATTGTTTTAGATATTTTGAATCAAACTTTTCAGAAAGAACTAATTTAAAAGACTTCCATGAAAATCTAAGAGAATATCAATACCTCTAGAAGATACATGGCTAGAGAAACAGAAAGTATCTCCTCTCAGATATTTGGAAATTACCCATACTTCAGCATACTCTCACAGACAACACCCCTATCAACATTTTTTTGCATTCCAGGAAAGCAAAATTTCCAGAAAGTAAAATAATCAGAAATTCCTTTAAATAGAAAACAAAAGAAAGTTATATTTTTCTTGTTTCATCTATGGAAAACAAAAACATTTAACAATTCTAATGTATTACTGCTTTCTGTAACAACAGGAATTAAAAGTAATCTGAAAAACTGCTGTCAGAACAGTATTCAAACCACTGGGATTGGTCTTCAGGAAAAGCAATGATAGTTCTGCATTCATGGAAAGTTGCTGATTTTTACCCCTGTAGATGCTTTTGTCATCTGAACGAATTCCAAACATCTTAAAAACAATACTATCCTTTTAAAAACCCCAAGGAAGACCAATCATGATCCATGAGAGTAACTCACTGCTTTGCAAGTAAAAGTGGAAGCTCAAAACCTCACTCAGCATTGTTACATAAACATACCTTTTTTCCCCTGGAAAGAATGGCAGGAGTCCCGATACCAAAGGACAATATCAATTTTGAAGATCTTGTAGATAAAGAGAGTAAAAAATACTAAAAATACCAAGGAAACTCCTCCTCCAATTAAGTATCCCTGAATGTTTCGAGCTGCAGCAGCATAGAATAAGAAAGAAAACAAATAAAGTACAATTATAAAATAGAAACAGGGAAAGACAAAGATTGTTCAAAATTGTTTAATCATTAAAATATTTTTGTTTTAGAAGAAGTGAAAGAACATGAAAAACTGTTTAATGTATGCTTTCTGCCATTACTATTATCTGATAAACCTACTTTTATCTTTCAGAGAAAAAATACAATATGATAAATGAGGTTACTCTTCAGCATAAACACCAAAACAAAATATTGACATATAATCCAGCACAACAATAGAGTGAGAATTCTTGTACAAAATTCTATCAGTTAGGAAGCAAGGAAGTCAAAGGTGGGGAGGTGATTTTCCAACCTGTTAATCTCCCCAGACCAACTAGCTTTCCATTACCTCTGCCCCTTCAATGACCTGTCAATGAACTGACTCATTTACTGTCCTTAAAACAGACACCCTCCACAAACTGCATTTTTCAGTCAATGCATTAAAGAATTTCTGAGGTTAAATCCTACCAATAATCTTTATGAAGAAATTATAGTCATGTAACAAGTTAGAGCTCATATCTACTTTCAGTCCTAAACTACTGAATGAGAGAAGACAAAGCAAATCAAAAGCACTATTTTCTTTCATTTTGCTAAGAATGTGGCAAAAAAATTCACAGAGAAAGGTACTGAGATGCACTGCCCATTTTGCATAAAAGCACATCACACTGCTTTAGCTTTAAGTAGGGCATTGTCAAACTAACTGAGAAGTAAGTCAATGATCACCGTTTTATCAAGAAAAGATCTCTTACCTGGGGATTCCAATTTGATGTAGGCTGTAAATTGTTGAGAACCATATATGAAGTGGCAGAAGAATTTATGAGCATAGTCCTTTACTTTCACTTTTGAAATGTTAAATTTTGTTCCAGATACAGCAAGTCCATGAGGCAACCCCTCTCTGTCATTAAAAAAAAGGTAAAAGGGAAACATATCTGTACATATCTGAGTATCTATGATGAATATGAGACAGATTAATCTATCCACAAATACAAAAAAATTAATGTTTTTGTATCTCTATAAACCTAAGAAGCTAGTAAAGCACAATAAACATACACCTGTAACTAATGATTTCATGAACTAAAACCATACTGGGCTTAGTTGTTTGGTTTGGCTTTTTTTTGGTTTGAGTTTGTTGGGTTTTTTCCCCCCGAGCTGAAGAGAGTGCACAGTTAGCAATTTGGCAGGTGACACAAAACTCTAAGGGATGTCTGATAAAACAACCAGCATCCAGAGGAATCTTGACAGAATGGACAAATTAAAAAAAAAACCTCATGAAGTTCAAAACAAAATGCAAATACTTCATATGAGGAGGAATAACCAGATCCCAGGCATCCTAGACTGCATTAGGAAAGACACTGCCAGCAGGTTAAGGGAAATGATCCTTCACCTCTGTTCAGCACTGGTGAGGTGTCACCTGGAGTAGTGGGGCCAATTTTGGGCTGCCTAGTACAAGAGATGGACAGATTTGCTGGAACAAGTTGTGTGCAGTGATGTGACACATAAGGAATTGGAGCATCTGTCATGTAAGAGAGCAGGGACTCCTCAGCTTGGAGAAGAGCAGGCTCAGGGGCAGGGGATGGATCTCATCAATACGTGTAGATACCTGATGGGAGGAAGGAGTGGAGAAGAGGGAGCCATGCTCTTTTCTGTTGTGCTCACTGACTGGACAAGAGGCTATCAACACAAATTGAATGACTTTCCCATCTGAAATTCCACCTGAACACTTTTTTACTTCAGGGTTGTCAAACTTTGGAACCTAAATGTCCTACAACAAGAGCTTCTGCCTTGTGTTCTTGAGGATTAGCAGCTGTGTCTGCACTTAAAAAGGACCATTTTCACAAATAAAAATAAGTTGGGTGGGTGATTTTTTGTTTTGGAACAATCTATCCTTCCAATACTAATAATTGAGGACAGGCTTTAACATACTAGTAAAAAAGAAAAAAGTCACATAAGAACAAATGCATAAGCAAGTATTAAAAATTGTATTTCACAATAGCATTATAAAAATCTACATGATTGCTTCATTCCATTTGTATCAGACACAGTATTTATAATAAAAATAAAACCTAACAATAATCGTATACTGTGTTTGATACTGACTTCTAATCAGCCTTTCAATGACTAGCGGCATTTGACTAGTAGTCTATAATGAATTCACTGTAAATTACTGCAGATTACTTCACCTACAAATGCACCACAAATCCAATGTATAAGGATACTTACTCATAAAACTGTTCCCTGTAGGTTTTATCAAAGATATCAACATCCTCATCATTAACTTGCCAGAATGGAATCAAGCCATTTATGCCACTTGATACATTACATTCCATCACTACATGAGAGCCTACAAAAAAAAAACAAAAAAAAAACCACAGAAACTGAAGGTCTTGTAATAGGAGCAGAATCAAGTGAGGAGGAAACAGCTAGGAAAAGGAGGGATATAAAAGAAACCTGCTTACCTTACAAAAAGCAAAGTCCTTAAACTCATCCATTTGTAATCCAAATTTGGGTGTCTATGATCTGGATATAAATTCCACTCTAAATGTAGGTGTCTAAATGTTCACATCTACATAGAGGCTAGGTGTCTTAAGCTAGTAACAGAGTTGATCTCTGCTGAAGTCTACACACATTAAAGTAGGTACCTTCTAAACTGAACGACTCTCCAGACTCCACTGAAAGATCTCCAGGGCTCAAATCAGTTGCATGTACACCTATGGTGACATCTGAGATGCTCTCCAGCATCCAAGGTATCCATATGGAGTTGTCAGACAGGACTCCAGATCTTCAAGAAAACTGCACTGCTAGAGTAGCCAGACCACCCAAAACACAAAGCACTCTTTGTGTAGGCAACTGAATTGAGCCCCTGTTGATACTGGCCTGAGTTAAAGACCCCAGATCATATGCACGTACGTGCAGACTACATCTGGGAGCTGAATCCCCTTCCTAGTGACCACACATCTTTACTCCAAATCATGGTCTTTTGGCCACCACTGTCCATTGGGATGTTTTCTGAATATTATCACACTTTACTTCCAGAGCAAGCTCACCTGTCACTCAGTTCCTTTGCCACCAAGAGTCCAGATCTTACAGAACACCTCAGTATTAAGCAAGCCAATTTGCAAAATATATTTATTGCCAATGTACCTCAGCGAGCTCCATGTACAGGAAGGTAAGCAGCTTTCTTGGATTCCTTTCCTTCTGTATTTTACCCATGGAAGTTACGATTTGATAGGAGAAGGTGGGGTCTCTCAGCTGGCCTATGTAAAGATCTTAAGTCTTTCATTTCCTAGAACCACATCAGATCTAGATGCTTCCAAGGGATGGTCTCTAACAAAAGTATGGAATAAACCTTTAGCTCACATGAAAAGAAGGTACTTGAACAAGAGTTTGCACAGAAATCAGAGATGTTCCCCGATCTCTTCCCTCACATCCTGCCACCACAACAATTTTTTTTTTTTTAAAGATGTGGTTTAGTGCATTGCACAGTTATTAAAAAAAAAAAAAATCAAAACAAAACCCCTCAATTGTTCCATGCCCTCTGTGTCCACACATTCATGAATGTACTGTTAAGTTTCTACTTAACCTTCTCCTGACATTTCTCATTCAAAAATCACACAGGTATTTCCATACAGGTGTTCATGCAGCTGCTTAGAGATTCTGCCCCACAGCCAGACATGTAGGAGGAGGATTTATTTTTTTTCCCCCAGTACCCACTGAAAGTACTGGACAAAGAATATTGAATATTTGAATGGCAATGTCATTTCAAAACCAACAAAAACAAATCTCACCAAATGCCTCTTAAAAGTGTCCCCCCCTGTGACCCTGTAATAGGGAATCATCTCAGTAATCACAATAAACCCACTTTGTGGCTGGAGTCTCCTTTTAGTCTCACCAGTGACTACTACCCTAATGTCTGTAAGGCAGTCAAGGTTTGCTCATCCTAAGTGGTCCAAAGCATCCAACAATACACCAGCACGACTTTTAATTAATGCTGTGTTCAAGCCATAACAAATATGGACCAAATTCTACAATAAGGAGTCTAAACAAATTGTCCCATAACAGCCTTAATGACTTGGGCTGAGAGTCACAGGCAGGCCCTGGATTAATAAATTGCTCAGAAAATACTATCAAGGATTGAAAAACCCTAACACTCCCTTCAGTAAATTTAAGAGCCTGAAGATCAGACTCCTGAGTGCAGGCTAGTGCATCAGTGAGAACTTTTCTGAATTAAATGAGAAGTCATAACTGCCAGTCAAAACTGGGGATGAGACCTACATGATATGTTAATGGGTGGGAGATACAGCACAGGGAAGCCCAACTGTAACATTACTTAATTTCTTCCATAGTTACAATTACAAAGAAGAAGGCAAGTTTTCACATAAAGATTAGGGTTATGTGAGGTAAAATAATTACCATGGAAAGTTTCCCTATTGTAATCCAAGATCTGGTTAACAAATTTCCTTAACAGTGAAAAAACTGAAAGTTTTTCAGGCATGTATTGTTTGTAATGAAGACAGAAAAGATACAAGTACAAGAAAAGAAGGGGCTGCTGAGTGATTCTAGACTATTTCAACAGAATTAAATAACCATCTGAAGACCACAAGACTGTAAGCCTTTAAAATAATACTTATTATATCAGATTCTGAATATCCTCACTGTTTAAAACAAAGCCTTCTGGACTTTGGAGGAGCATAATTTCTATTAAAGCTCATTTGCAATTCTGGTCAAAATCTACTGATCTTCACCAGAACCTGGCAACTTCAAAGTTATCTGTCACAAGTTATTGGGGCCAAAAATAAAAGAAATGAGCAAATAAAAAACCTACCAAAACCCCAAAATACCTCCAAACATACATACACAAAACCCACCAGAGTTTTAGTGCTGTCCAATTTAATACCATATATTCAAAGTTAGAATTTGGGACAGACAAAAATACTTGACATGATATGAAAAGAAACACAAAGCTTTAACTGGAGAAAATAAACACCTGTTACACACAATATTTACAAGCTCAATGTCAGAAAAAGCAGTGGCAAAAGTAACTGTTATGTGAGATTCCATCAGAGTGACACACATAAATAATCCACAAAGGCGTGACCTCCCATGTGGTATCAGAGTCCAAATGCAACCTCTGCTCTGAGCTCCTCTAATCATCTAATTCCTCAAAAGATTATAAAACTGTTTCCTGTACTAGGAAATTCCAGTAAATAGCCAATCACACTTCTCCAAAATCAGTTAAAGCCCTTTTAAAGAAAATATTTTGTTTGGAACTGCCCCCTTTGTTACAAAATGGTTTTAAAAAATACAGTTCAAGCAGTTCCAATCTCATTCTTCTGGACTGTGTCAGTAGAACACAACTCTGTCTGGTATGTGGTGGACCTTAAACACATGTAACTTTGCTTAAGACTGCAATACCATATACTTGGCCCAGAGAATTAAAGAATAACTGAGGTTAAAAGAGAGGTCTTCAATCCAATTTCCTCCTCAAAGTGTGGCCTGATTCTGAGGTCAGACCAGGCTGCTCAGAGATTTATTCACTCAGGTTCTAAAACTTCTAAAGACAGATAGTGTAACTTTCCTGGGCAGCCTACTGCAGCTGTCCTCCCAGTGAAGAAGTTATTCTTTATACCCAGAATATCTTATTTAAGAAATTTCCAAGATAAGCAGTACCTGGGATATGCATCAAATAGCAGCTCACTGTTTCACAAAAGATCAGTTTCCAAAATCTGTATTACTCTAAAACAAGGAATAAAATCCAGGTTGTGGAGAGGGAAGGGAGACAGGAAGCATACAGGAAGAGAAAGAGCTACTGAAGTGGTCAACTGCTAAATATCCTAACATGCTACATGTACATAAACCACATATACTGTGTCTCAGTATATTTCCACATATGTGGAAATATATGTCACATCATGACACAAACACTGAGAAGTGGTAAAAAGGACAGATGGAGATAAGAGAAAATAAATAAATAGATAAACAGATAAATAATTAAATAAATAAATGCATCCTGCACAACACTGTTGGTCAAGAGACTGCAATCTTAGGCACAGTTACTTCCCCCTACAACTTATTTCTGGGAAATCACATTCTATTATCTATCCTCTGTCTTCCAGATATTCTCTTCAATCCACATGCTTATCTCTCAGTCCTGCTGAATTCTGTGGAACTGTTCACATATCATTTTGTAAAGACCAGGAGCTTATTTGTTTCACTTAAAGCTAATGATCTCTTAAATAGTTACTACTTACCAAGTTCTACTTCAATTGTATTGTTCCTTGGATAAATAAACTCTGGTTGCATCTGCAGTGGTTTTTCTAACCAAAACAAAGAAAAATAAAACCTTCAGGCAGGAAAAGATCCATGACTTAATTCAACTGACAATAGTTTTGGTTTTACAGTGGGTTTGGTTTTATGATTGGTACTATTGTAGTGCCATACTAACTATGAGTTTCATATTTAAAACAGAAATGTCTCATATTTGCTCTACTCTCTCGAAGTTATTCTATTTTAGCTCCCAAGATTAAAAAAAAAAAAAACAACAAAACTTTAAAATGTTTTAAAAAAAATTCTCAGATTTACTGGCAGCAGATATGAAAGCAACACGAAACAAGAAAACAAAGACAAAACCAAAAAATGCAGAAATGCAGTTAACTTTTTCAGAGATAGATAAGGAAGAGGAAAAGGGTTGTATCAATGACCTCCTAGATAAGGTGAATATTTTTTTAAGTACAAGTTTAAATAAACATATACTTAAACTGGGCTGGAATTGTATCATTCTGCACAATGTATAGATTGGTTGCCAACAACTCACTGTTCATATATCACCTACATAAAGTCAGAATTTTGGTTTAACCTAAAAAGATGGACCTGCTGTCTCCAGAGAGCTATTCTGATAGCACTATTATCATGTTACTAGTCAAGCCACCAGCAACATTGCCCACAAAGACATAATCAGAATGGTAAGTGCAATAAATGACACTACTGGGAGAGTGAGGCAGCAGAAAAGCACAACCAAGTGCCAACAGTAAGCCAATCCTTTCCAGAGGAATATTTATTAACTTCATATTACTTATACAGCTTGTCACATCTCCTTTCCCATCAATGGAGAAGCAAGTTCACCAACAGGGCTTCAAGCAGGTCATTCACTGTGATAAGTCTCAGGAGAAAAAGCTTATATTTTTAAGTTTATTTACTTTAATGGTGCACTATTTGTTTTGGCAAAAGCAATACCTCCACCCCAGAAACCACTGCTTTCTTGTAATTCAACCCTGCATTACTCATTTTCCCAAGACAATTCTTCCTCAAAAGCAATGCTTAAGTGTAACAACATGCCTCATTACCTTTCAATTTTATGTTCAGGAATAAATTAAAGAAGACTTACAACTCTGTTTCTCAGAGCTGAAAAGTAACATGCTAAATATCTTATGCCTCCATACAAACGTTTACAGCAGAGCCAAGAGAACAACCTCATGCACTCACCTTTAACCTCTAGCCTTATGGTTCTTGAAACATTATATTGTTTTCCCATATATGTGTATACCATATGGCACGTGTAGTTTCCTCTGTCTTGCACAGTTACATTACGAATCAAGACAGCATTTTCACCCTCTGCCAAAAGAAGTCGCTTGTCTTCAAGAAATCCAGGTTTACATTCCTAAACACACCAAAAGTACCTGTGAATTAAGGGAACTAAAAACCTGACAATTAAATCAGTTAATGAACTCTAGTGATGGTGAAAATACTTGGCAAAGTATTTTGAGATACTTGATGACTTAAAATTACTTCAAAATACTTGAAATTACTTCTTTGAAAGCCATGATGTAGATTCTTTTCCAAGCATCAGTACAGTCTAACATGTTGCTCCATTTGCACTTTTTTTAAAAAATCACTGCTGCCTATCCTTTACGTTTTCAAATGCTGTGCTTTAGTTCACTGCCTTCATTAATAGCTGGACAGCTTTCTATCTCGGGTATAGTAGAAGCCATTACACATGCAGCAGAGTTGACAAGAATACATGCCTGCACCCCTACTTCGCCATGTGAAAGAGCTGTTATCGCAGTGCCTCGTACTGTTTGGGTGTATCACCATCTCTGTGGCAATACAAATTCAGGGGAAAAAACCTTCCTTCTCTTTCTTGACCTCCCAGTAGTGGAGAATCTCTTCACCTCAAAAGATGTATAGGTGCAGCACCAAGGTTATTTAGCATGTATAGGCCCATTGCTTGAATACCAGCATCAGAATTAGGAGTTGAGCTATTTCAGAATTTTACCTTAACACAGATAAAATATGTATCTCCAAGCTTGCACAGTCTACAGAACATTTTTGCAGAACCAAAGCAAGCAGCAAAAGAATACTACAGTCAACAGATAGTACATCTCTATCTAATATTAGAATATTCTCTAATATCCTGAGAAACTGAAATAATTATGCAAAGCCTTCTCTTTACAGAAGCATAGAAGTTCTAGAACTTATTACCTACATAAAATAATCAAAGGAAAAAACAGAATTGCACAAATCTTATTCACACTCATGCCTTACTCAAACTGTAGATAAAACAAACCTTCCCTTCCAAAAACTGCTTTTCACAGTTACTTCATAAGACATTTTAAATAATAATACATTTTGTATCTTGTATATATGAAATACACATACTCAGTACCTTATACCAATGTACTTCAGGCTGATTATTGTCTTCATCTTTAAATTGTTCTAGATCAGGGCATATAATTTTTCCAGTTTTTGTGCTCATCACTTTTTGTTCAAATTTCATTTTTCCATTAAAACACAAACCATTATCGTTCTTAAAAACTGTTAACTTTATAGTTTTTTTGTTAGAGTGGTTAAGGCTCCTGTAATTAGAAGAGCAGATAAGTCAGGTCATTAACAGTAAGGTTCATTATTCCCAGCAAGTCAGGGAGAGGGACTTCAGCATCTCCACCAGCCTTGCCTCTATAACACCCCTGCTTTATTCCCCTAGTTTGTAAACACCATCCTCAGCCCCTCAGCCCCTCTTCCAGGTGAAGAAATGAAAATAAGCTCTCAGTTTGTCTTGTGAGCAGAAACAGAGTTTACTCTGGACACATGAGATGGGATGTCAGGACTTCTCAGAGCTGCAGTTAAGGCCTAAGTATCTGACGCACAGAATGTTAATAAAACGTTGCTTACAGTTAATACAACTGAACCCTAGCAAGGTTTTTGTTCTGCTGATATTGTGTAAACCAAGGATGTGAGGTGCCCAAAGGAACACATCTCATAACTCAAGTAACTAAAACCATAGCAAGAAAGGCTAAATTAAAATTATGCAGCTGGGTAGATTTGAAGGGATTACATGTCTTCCGACTTCCAATTTTGGTTTCAGGGTAAAGTCTGGTGAATGTCTGTGACATTGGAAGATTTTGCTGATCATTTTTACTACATTCACAACCCAAACCCTCCAGCTTAACTGGTGTACTCTTTGCACACTAGTACACATACCTACAGACTACTAAAACAAATTTAGGGTCACCTGAAAAGCCTGTGTTGGCTGTTCTCAGTGTGTTGTGACAACACTATGAGGAAAAGAACATTTTATGTATGTCTTCCCAAAATTAATTTCCTGTTCAGCACACAGTGAATTTCAACCATTTTAAAAAAGGCCTAAGTGATGAAGTCCAGTGCACTAATCTTAGCTATTAATCTAGACAGAGCTCTAAAGTACTAAAAAATCTGGATATAGATTATTTTCAAATAATCTATTCCTTTTTTTTTCTCTGTACACTCAGATCATTTGAGTAGTATTAAAGATACATTATTTTCAGTCTCTAAAGCTGTCTAGCACACCACTTTGCTCTTTTAATGTATTCTCATTTTTGACCAGTAAGACATGGTAATATTTTAAAATAAATCATAAAAACTGTTTTCAGTCTTTTAACTTGCAGATTTCTAGTACAACTTCCAGCAGATTACTAAGCTCTCCAGAAAGTCTGTGTGGTGATAAAATGCAGTCTGCCCCTCTTTGAACGTTCTTACATTTAGACTTGTCCTACAAAGAAACCAGTGTTGTTCTGAACTGTCAGTATCAAACAACAATTTGAACACAGGAAAAGCCAAAGAAGTTAAGGCATTTTCCTGTGACCTTACACTTCATCCAAAACAAACAAAGCAAACAACCACCACCACAGACCATTTTTAGTATCATCATGCTTTAAGATAAAGAGTCCTCTGTACAAACCACTTTTGCAGTGCTAAACGTGTGGAATAGCAGAGAAACAGGCATCATGCAGAAACAAAAAGCATGGTCAAAACAGTGCTTTCAACTGATCCAGGCATTCTACCTAAACAAGAAATTTTGTACACACAAGTTCCACAAATTAATTATCACACTTGCAAGCACTAGCAATCCACTTGTTTCCTTCCTTCCTTACCTTACACTGCATTCATAAATTCCAGAATCTTCCAGCATTGCAGGAATAAACCAAAGCAAGCCCTCTCGCTGGTGGATCCTGGCGTCTCTCTCTGTGGTCACTGGTGTAGCACTACCATTTTTATACCACGTCAAATTGTAATCAGAGTGAAGCACTGGCAATGTAATTATTGGGCAAGTAATAGATGTAGGCTCTCCAACAAGCACAAAGTAACTACAAATAACACACCCTTCTGTTAAAAAAACAGTGAAAAAAATGAAAAAATTATCAATGCTTTTAATTTGCATACTTTTATGTTTAAGAAGTATTAATACCCATTCCAAGTTACAGAGAATTAGAAAAACTTTCTGTAACAATTTATCATTAAAACATCACAGTGCTATTCTTTTTTGTTTGTTACCACCTTCTGGTTGAGAACATGAACACATATTTTACAAGCTTAAGGCACAACTTCCCTCTGTTAAGGTAGCCAGCAACAAACACATGCAAGGCAAACAGTCTCACTGCAAACGAGGGTGTAAGAAGATCCATGGCATTCATCAGGCAGCTCCAAGATTCCCAACTTACCTGTCGTGTTCTTGTTATTTAAATGTGCTACTACTTTTGCAGAATCGACAGATTCTTAAAGTAAATAATATCTATGTAAAGCACAGTGCAAACAGTAGCAGCGCAGAATTCTTGACAGTATTCTGCTACTATGACTTTGGGCCAAAAACAAATCAAGAAAAAAAAATTTGGAAAGAAAAAGTATTTAGATAAAGATTTATTTTAGATTAAAATTTGAAAGTATTTAGATTAATCATTTAGATTAAGAAGTCTTGAGTATAATGTATTATTTCCTTCCTACATTTGTGCCTTTAACTAGAAGGCCCATTATTCGGAACATCACACAAAAGGCCAATGTAAACATAGTTTTTAAAATTGTAACTGTGTAACAAGTTGACAGGACACAATCATGCAGCCTAGCAAGCATATCCTTCAACATCAGCCAAAAAAAATCAGAGAAAAAAGCACAGATATTGCAAAAAGTTATCAAGAGCTTGAATATGCAATCAAAAACAAACTGGAGAATACAACTGTAGCACAAACAGAGCTGACCATTTGGCTATAAAGCAGATTGTAAAACTTTCAAGCTTTTGCATACATTTGTCCAGAAAAGCTGTGGGTGCCCCACCCCTGGAAGTGTTCAAGGCCACAAGGGACTTTGAGCAACCTGGTCTAGTGAAAGGTGCCCCTACTCATGGTAGGGGGGTTGGACTGGTGACTGATGATCTTTAAGGACCCTTCCAGTCCAAACCATTCTGTGATTTTATGTCCAACACCGAATTTTTACATAACTGCAGAACATCTGGTTGAACTGATTTTATACAGTTAATATCTTTAATTTTAATTTAAGCAATTTAAATCTTGCTTAATGGCTGTACAAATACAAAGTTAACATATTCAATTTCAAAATAAATAAAATCTTCACTAATATTTCTAATATCACTACCTTTCCTTTTAAAGACTTCCAAGTAGGTGTCCATATAGCTCAGTCTAATTCAGGGACATTAGTATTATACTACTTATGCCAGGAGTAGCAAGACAACCATGATTAATTTATGTAGTTCTAAACTTTACTGAAATACTAGATCTATCATTAAAACTATTACTTATTTAATTGTAAAGAAAACTCATCCCTATTGCTTTCAGGACTAGACATACAGAATGTCTCAAAGAAGGCACTCTACAGCTAACCTTAAGTCAAGGAAGCCCAGTCACTTCATTAAAATGTCTTCATTAAAAAAAAGCTAATCAAAGCCTCAGAGCCCTAAATTTATGCACCTAGATTTTAAAAAAATTATCTCCATTTGTCCATGACATCCCTAGTACAATTTGAATCCAGCAGATATTCAGCTAGCATCAACATGCTAAAGCAAAAACAAACCCTACTTATTCTCAGTAACTCTTTCCTACTAAATACACACAACTCATCTCTTGCAGATTTTCTTTTTTAAAATGGTAATTTCAACAAAATATTTAACCTACCAGCACTGAAGAGAGGTATCAGTACAATGAGATGACCAATGAGCCAAAACATAGATGTCATATTTTCCTGCAAACCAGAAGTTTTTTCCATTAGTGTGGTAAGACTGTTCAAGATGCACTGCTCTCTGCACCCTGCATTACTCCTTAAGAAAAAAAAAAAAAAAAAAAAAAAGAAAAAAAACCAGAAGAAGCATTAGTCATCTTGGGGAGGGAAAACACTTGGATTTGGTAACTTAGGCCCAGTCATTGAAGATTTCAACTACAGCAGCTCTTGGCCTTCACAAACAGCTGCTCAGCTTTCTGCTAGAACTTTTCCTGGAACTAGAACTATGCTGATGGAATAACTCTTGCATAAGTGTAATATTCTTTAACCAGCACACTTAAACAAAAAAAAAGAACCCCACAACCCTCAAGCACAGACAAATTATGCTAGCATGGTGATTTAAGCTATACTTCAGAATTCAAAAAAAAAAGCTTGATTAAGCTACTCTTCTTTCCAAATGCTTACGAGAGACACAATCACAGAGATGTAAGAGGTTTCCTTCTTTGAACTGTTCTCATACAGCTGAGACAGCTTTTAAGAGCAGTAACTTGCAGTTCTTTGCAGAAGGACAAGCATACTGTAACTCCAGTATCATCTGCCACTTAAAATGAGCATCTAAAGTCAAATGTCTGTGGAAACCACAGCTAATATGAATTGCTGCGGTCAGACTCAAAAATAAAGTGTCCAAGGATTGTAGTTTAAATTCACACCTCAGGTCTTTTTTTCCATTTTCTCCAACAAAGACACAACTGAACACACACCCGTTGCCCTCATGGGCCATTAGTGGCTTCTACAAACTCTAAATCTTAACAAAGTCCTGCTTCCCTCTCAGATACAGCAGCATTTTTTTGGTGTCATCAGAGATCTCCCCAAGCTTTCTACTGTCAACCAGCTGGCAAACAATTAAATCCTCCCCCTTCTGACAGCTAATTGTAGACTAAGATCTGCATCCAGTAGCCTTGCCTTTCCTCACCTTTTGACTATTTTGCAAGGTTCTGCCTTTCACTCTAAAGCAAGCTGGTTTCACATGTAGCAGTCTATTGCAAAAGATTTATTGCACAGGTCCTAATTAATATTTGCCTTCTACCCAGCTAGAAATGGCAGGAAGAAGATAAATTATTCCATGAAAAAGTAAGACATGACTTACTTTTCTATCCAATGTAATTCACTTCAGTCGCAAACAAGCCACAGCAGTTACTTCTTTTGAAGCATTTCATGTGCAGGAGTTCTGGGGTATTAGGGTAGGTCACACAGTGTAGAGTTCAATAATTTAATATAACAGCCTTCAGGTAAGTTGTTCTTTTGCAAAGTTTATCTGACAAAACCCTCATACTACAGTCCTTATTTAGTTGCCTTGTATGTGCTTTTCCTGTAACTTGCCAACAAGCAGGTCATCATTTTTGGAGTCTCAGTTTACCTGTAAAAAGCAGAGAAAGGGAAAAAGAGATTTTACAAAACATATCATTTGGACAGCAGCATACACATACAAAACTAAATTTTCTACAGACATCCTAAACATAAAAGCAAGAGCATCCCCCTGTACATTAGAGAGATGACTTAAAAGAGCAACAAAACTTGCAGTACAGACTGACCAAGGATTCTAGCAGATACCTTCAAGAAAAGACGTTTCTGTCAAAAACAACACAATGTTACACATGTGTCAAGCAACTTTGTAAGACACGGTCAACAACTAAAAGGAAACAAATACATTTAAGGCATGATAATAATTAGCATTGTAATAAGGGTATGCTGACATTGACACAATGACCACAAATTTTAGTCATTATGTCTTCTTTCCAGACAATCGTGCAAGCTGCAGAACTACAGAAAAGCTGTATATTTAAGACAAACCCGTTATTCAGGACATTCTGGTGAAGCTACATCAAAATGCAGTCAAAGAGTATTAACAAAGAAGCCTGCAACAGTTAGGTCTTTGCAAGCTAAATTCCAGTTCAACTTTTAGACAGTATTAACTGTTCTAAATCTTAACTTATTTCTTCAAGTTCAGGTAACTGCCCCAATTTTTACCAAAGAACAGCAGATGGGAACAAAAACAGTATGTGTAGCTGTTCATAACTGGCCACCACTGGTTGACTCTACAACAGTGAAGTGCTATCTATTCATTCTGTCCCACATCAAACTAGAGACAATGAGTGTTTCCAAACCACACAGAAAAGAGCAGACATTAATATTTAAATAAATTGAAAACAGTACCTTCTTTCAGTATTGAGTGGAAAGAGTTCATTTCACAGTCCATGCTTTGAATACTTTTCTAAGTCATTTTAACTCCTGATACCTGTCAATATGAAGTAATAAGAATTTTAATGCAGCACATTTTTTATTTAAGTCCAAATTAAGTTATTAAGTTTTCAGGATCATTCTCAATGTACTGTGAGGAGGCATTTAAAAGAACCTGAATATTTCATGCAGACAAAATTATATTTACCAAAAATAGTGATGCAAAGTATTTAAAAATAGTCTTAATCTCAGGAGGAGAGAGGAAATTAGTAATATAAAAAAAAAAAAAAAGTAATAGGTGTTTTGTTTCTCATTTCTTATAAAATATGTGAATTAAATATCTGAATTAAGGATCCTGCATTCTAAAATAACTTTTGCACAAGACTTTTTAGCCTGTTTTTTAAGGATCTAAACACGTACAAATGGTCCAAGTCAAACAAGTGCCCAGTGCTGAACGTCTGAAGTAGAAAAACAAAACACATCCAGCAGCTTGTTTGAGTCCCTGTAGAAAACACTACAAAAGCAACACACGCTTCTGTGTCTGGAAGCACACAGAGCCTTGACTCAGCTCGGTAACTTTTTTAATGGATCTCTCCTAGCAAGCTGTGGCTCCCCAGGCTGCTGCCAAGCACCGTCAAGGCTGTGACCAGCACAGATCTGAGACTGTCAGAGTAGCAGCTCCTTCCTGGGTTTGATACAGGCATCTCTTTCACCCAAAATCTTGCTCTTGTCACACAAAGAGTTAATAAAGAGCCCCTGTCTGACCACCGTTATGCAATAAATAAATACATAAATAGTTTTTGTAGTGTTTTACCAGGTCAAGAAGATTTATGCCAAGCATTATCCTGCTTCCTGTTACAAGTACTTTAAAAAATGTGGCAGCATTACCACTCCTACGGCCTTTATTTGTCCATCGTACTTTCTACCTGAGCTTGTACAATGCGATACACAACGAGGAAGCAGACACAAACGCAAAATAAAAAATGACTGCCACGGAAGCTATTTGGGGCCATAAAAGCTGAGAAACCAGCAGCCACAAAGATTGAGAGACTGCGCCAACAACACCCCACAGAAACATACACGGCCTCAAAACACAGCTGAAAGCAACAAACCCACTGTTGGTTTTCTGGAAGCCGTCGGCACCGCAGCCTCACCTGGCCAGGGCACCCCGACCACCCCGGGGAGCCCCGGCAGGGCGCTCCCCACGCAGCTAAGGACGACAGGAGAGGCGCGGGGAGGGAAAAGAAAGCACAGCCGCCCCCAACCTACAGCCCTCAGCCCATCCTCCCTGCCCTCTCCTCCCCGCCACGCAGGCGGCACTGGAAGCCGAGCCCAGCCCAGCCCTGTCCAGGTCAGCTCGGCCCGGCCCGGCCCAGTGACTGAACGAGGCGCTGTCCCCTCAGAGCCCACTGCCCTTCCTCACCTCCCTGCGCTCCCCGCCGGCTGCCCTTGCCCGCTCCGCGTAGCGGGGCACACGGGCACCGCTCCTCGCCTCGCCCGGGAGCCACGGCCGCCGCCCCCCGCACCGCCCTCGGGCCGCCCCGAACAGCCCTCGGACCGCCCCCAGACCGCCCCGAACCGCCCTCGGACCGCTCCCGGACCGCCCCCAGACCGCCCCGAACCGCCCTCGGACCGCTCCCGGACCGCCCCCAGACCGCCCCGAACCGCCCTCGGACCGCTCCCGGACCGCTCCCGGACCGCCCCCGAACCGCCCCCGAGCCGCCCTCGGACCGGCCTGGCCAGGCTCGGCGGAGGCAGGGGCGGTGAGTGGCAACTGGGGCTCCCGTCCGGCAGCCCTGCCGAGCCCCGCCGAGTCCCAAGGGCATGCAGCACCTGGCACAGGGCGAGCTGGTCCTCACGGTGTCCTCCGGTATGACCTCCTGCTGGGCATCTCCCCGCAGCTTGGCTAAGCCCGTTTTCTCGGCCATCAGCCCACTTCCTTTGGCCGTCACGCCTGGGTTTAGCTCCCCTGCAGGCTGGGATCCCCTGGGCTGGCGAACTGACTTCAGTGCAGTTTCCCTCAGGCTGCCCTCGGGGCTCATGGCAAGCCTTGGCTAGGCTGACCTTGGAAAGAAAGCCCTGTGGCCAGCTCAGCGCTCAGCTTTGCTACAGAACAGAACTGATGCCCATTTGGCAGTCTGGTGGATGCAGACACCTCATGCATTCAAACAGGTTGAACCCCTACATCCCAGTGCATCCAGGTCATGCCAGGCTTAACCATGCCTGCTCTGGGAAACTCTAACACAAGAGAAACCAGTCTGGCAATCCATCACCGCGCTCATGAAGTGAGTCCAGGGACTCTCGCCTCTGTCTGGTGTCCACCAGAACAGGCCATGTGAGTGTCTGCTGCCACCACTCCTGTGTTCAGTCACCTGAAGTTGCTCACCTTCTCTTCTTTAGAGCAGAGCTCTATTTGCTCTCAACCATGTAAGATGGACTTGGAAGATGATCTTTAAGATTCCTTCCAAGCCAAACCATTCATTGATCCTATGATTCTAAGTGTTTACTTTTTTTTGTTTGATCAGCTAGCCCTTCCACTGTGTGAGGATCTCACTTTTTTGGTTCAAACAACAGTTTCTTCCTTCAGTTTTGTGTAGAAACTCTATACAGTTCTCATTGTTTCATCTGGTGGTAAAGCTAAACTTACTGAAACAGAAATTGAATTTTCCAGGGTGAAGTTTCCCTGGAATTGTTTCCTTTTCCATAGTTTTTAGAACCTTTTTCCCCTGTGCTTGCCTTCATCTCCTCCATTTTGGTTCCCATAAACTTGCTCTTATTCACTCCTCAAAGACATGACTGTAGGGTATTCAGTGGTTGCTTATCCCCATATCTGCTTTTGTTCAAGATCCACATTCATTAACTTTATTTCCATTTTGGTTGAAGTAAACATATATTTTAATAGGAATAATAAAATAATATATGTAATGTAAGAAGAAGCTTCAACTTGAAGTTTGAACAATTTCCAAATGAGTGTAAAAAGACTGTCAACTTGATTAAGGGTTTGAAAAAATGTGTGAAGGCATGTTTTTACTTCTTGAATGGTAGATGAAAGCTCTGATCCAGACTCACAGAACTATTACTCTTTTCCAGGTGGGAAGCTTGGATGCTTTTGTAGTAGAAGAGCTTGTTTTCTTCCCTCTTGGTTTCAACACTAATTAGAAGAAAGAGTGGATTCTCATACTGGCTTCTTCCATGTTTTCAGTATCAGGATGAAGAGCTGGCTTGAGCAATGGAGCTCTCAGGTAGGAAAGCTGTGAAATGTTTACCAGCTGATCTGATAATATAAATGGGGAGAAAGCCCTTTATGAGCTAAAGGAGCAAACTTCTATACTGTGTGTTTCTAAGCCTTTGCAAACTCTATTTTAACTGCACAAAATACTTTTTAATCTGCTTTTGCCTTCACTGATTTGATTCAAGTTTGATGTTAAGGTCACTGGCTATATTGGGGAAACTTCATAGGCCATGGAAACTTAAACCCAAAGATTTTTCTAAGTGTTTATCTTCCCAATATGTTTCTTCACAATATATAACTAAATGATAACAGCAATGCTTCAAATTAAGCTGCACAAAGTTTGAAAGTTGGCTGGGAGAATCAGAGAAAGAAGAGTCTTCCAGTAGCCAGTAATGATCAGGAAAACTCTCCACCATGTAGCAAGAGAATAGGAAGCATGCCAGAAACCCGTCGGTCTCAAGGCAATGTAACAACTAATATAGTGGATGTCTAGAAAATTTGATAAATACTAGATAAAATGGTTATTTGTAGAATGTGACACATCACTATATCCATATTCTGATATGTGTCATGACCACACTTTAAAGTTACTCCCCAAAGTACTCTCTGGCACTCATTTTAGAGAAACTAATCACTATGAACTGAATGTACACTTCTGAAAGAACACACACAACAATCAGTACTGCCAAGCTGTGATTCAGGAGCAAAGTATGGATTTTTCACAGAGCAGAGGATCTTTCCTAGACTTTTTAAAAAATTATGTGAATGAATCAATCATGAAATACTAGTAAGATTCCAGTCAGAAAGCAGTAATTTTCCAAATTTCTGCTCTTCTTCCACTGTAGAGCTGTTTTCCTGAGTAGTTTTACCCAATTGTTCATCGGCTGAGTGTACTGTAATATGTGTACACGTTCACATATAATTGGGAAAAAAACATGTCATTGCATCCAGCTGCAGGCATCTGAGGTCTCAGACCTCTGGACCAGTGCCTGTGCTTCTATCAAGACGTCATTGCTCAGAAGTCAGTCAGCACCAAGAAGCCAGACAGAGTTTTGTGTCCTTCAGTATTCAGGAGAAACTGGCCAGGGTGAACTTCAGAACAACACAGTAAGATGTTCCAGTTGGCAATGAAAGGTGTAGCTCCTCTCCCAACACATCAGTCACTGATGTTGTAAGCAGTGACTGTGTCACAGGAGTTAATTCAAAGACTGTTTGGTAATTCCACCAAAGTTCTCCATGGGGCTCTTTCAAATTGTAGTTTAATATAGGTTAATGTGGAAAGCAAGCAAGAAACCCAAATTTATGTCAGAAAGGCTATTATACTTAGTTAAAGCTTGCTACAACTTCCTGCATCACCAAAAGCTACAAATAATTGAAAACACAAACTAGTTCTGAGTCTCCTACACTCTGAACATTCCTACTTTAGTACAACAACAGAAGTCGTGGCCACCAAGATCATCATTCCAGAAAATCTTAAATCTGGGGATGGTTGATTTTCTTGTTATCCAAGTTCAAAGTCCAAATCAAAACTGGCTTCATATCCTACTAAATCCCATCCATTAACGCCCTCTTGTACAAAACTCTCTCTTGGAGAGGACAAGGTAGCAACAGAAGCATAAGGAGAGACAATCATAACAGTGCTTTTAGTATTATTCCTGCAAAGGTACACCAGACCTATTTTTGGACACATGGCAGTAACCTAAAACAGATTCTTGTGTATTGAGATTTGTTCAATCACTCTGTTTGGCATTTCCACACAAAAGAGAGAGAAAGTTCATATTTGATCAGGTGCATACATCTGCACTTAAAGCAAATTTATACTGGATAGAGCAATGGATCTCAGACTGACATTTTGAGTATGTGAAAAGCATGAACATACCAGCTCTCTCAAGAGACAGCTTTTGCAATTAGAATCTGGTTTAAAATAAAAAAATCAATATTTCATTTTTCTTTTTAAAAAAGCTAGAAAATCTTCCACCAGTTCTTCATCATAATCACTTCTTCACATGTTTGCCAGTGCAACTGCTGCTTAAGCAGCTGCAGAGGAGGTCTTGGCAATTATGTGACTGTCGCTGCCACACTTAACCAGGAATGCATGCTAGGAGCACCTTTCTCCTCCTGTGCCACCCAAGCTCACTGTGGATTTCTTCACAGAGTGCTTCTCTTCTATCCTGTGACTCTTTTCCACGCCTCCTGAGAACAGTTGTGGGGAACTTTTCTTTTTGCCTTCAGCACACAGAAGCATTATAGCTTTGTTAATTTCCACTGTGACTAAACAGGCCCAAAGCTTTACCGCATTACTGCTTCAGTAAATCAGCTATCCTTGTATTACTGGCATTACCTGAATGGTTCTGGTTTGAAGCAAAGCAGTTCTCAAGACAGATCTTGGAATGGCTTCAATATTCTCCTTAAAATTTCCTTAAGGTGGAGACAGTTTGTTGGCGCTAAGAAAACTCATCAGAGCCAAAGCAAGTAATGCCTTCACTAGCCAGTAGTTGAGTCATTGAAATGAAAATCAAGTTTCACAATGTCATATCTCTGCCCAACATACATCCACCTCAAGATCTTATCCTGTTTTGTGGGTTAGAGCTCTTGGAGTCAGCAGAAGTGCAACTAAAAAGGCTGTAATTAATTTGCAGTGATGTCTGTAAGATGAATGCAATGGTTTATCCCTCATATATAAGTGTGATACGTATATATATATATACACACAAAGTGAGTTAAATGTTACAACCAAATTTATCTGCTGTTGGAGCAGCTCTCCAACTTCTGCTTTTGCAATTTGCTCATTAGTTTGTACAATGTGTGCTCAGAAATTACTCTTAAATATTGTACAATAAGGGCTGATGTGCAGAAAAGAAACCTGGAACTGTAAGAAAAGGACTTCAAGATTTAGCCTTCTCACCCAGCCAGGAAGGTACAGCACACAATAAATTCTGGCCAAACTGTACAATGGCTGCACGTCTCTCATCAGATTACCCAGTGTCTTGCTAGAATACCACTAAAATTCATAGAATCATAGAATCATAGAATGATGGTTTGGATTGACTGAATGATGGCATGGACACTGTCCACTAGACCAGGTTCCCCATAGCTCCATCCAGCCTGGCAGTGAACACTTCAAGGGATGGGATGTCCTCAGCTTCCCTGGGCAACAGAAAAAAATTTTTCCTAATGTCTAATCTAAACCTACTTTCTTTCAATTTGAATCCATTCTCCCTTGTCCTGTCATTAATTAACAAAAGCAACAAGTAAACTGGAGTAACAAAATGGCCCAAGGAAAGCCGTATAAGACTGTTCATCTTTAAATTGTTAGAAGAACACAAAAAGGATATCCACAATTACAGCAGACCCTGAAATATGGTAACTGCAACAAAAAGAATCTTTAACTTGCAGTGGCTTGAGCTTTGAAAAATAAAACTCTTATCTCAGCAGAAACTAGGGTGTGTTGATGATTTCACTCTAAATTAGAAGGAAGGATTAGTTGCCTTAGAAGCATGTAGAAATTACTGTACTAATGCTTTCTTCTACCACTGTAAAAGCTCAGAACTGTATGAGACAAAGGAAACCAAATTCAGAGCTACTTTTTGTCTCAGCTTTCACATTCCTTTCAGCTAAAAGGCAAGAAAATTGAAGTAGCAGTTGTTTGGAAGGTAATGCTTGTGATAAAATAATTATCTGTAGCAATTGATTTCCCATGACTGGAGCATGAACGCTTTGCCTCTGGAGAGTAATCTGCTATCTTTCTAAGGCTGAACATGAATCACTGTGCTAAGTGCTGCCTCAATGGTTTCCAGAGACTGGGCATAATACTTTGGTTAATATTTTTTTAAAAGTCAATTTTTTTTCTGCTGAATAGTATTTCAGGGTCTTGTGCTGGCATTACCACTGTGCTCTTGCAGATGCCTTGCTCCTGCTAAAGTGTTGTAACAAATAAACAGCATGACCATTGTTAGTAGTTTTTAAGTGATTAGTCATCAGAAGCTTCGTGCACAAGCTAAATATGGCTCTGATGCTAAACTAATTGCAAGGAAGTCTTAGGAAAAGCCTAAGTAATTTGGAGTGCTGAAAATAGCTGGAACTACAACATGCTCATTTACTCAAAAAGTTATGCTTCCTGGTTTCTTTTATTTCTCTATTAAGAACACCTATCCACTATTCTTTATTACATGATCTTTAAGGTCCCTTCCAACTCAAACCATTCTATGATTCTCTGACTATATGTTGTAAAGTCTAAAATACATTTCTTGGCATAGCAATTTGTCTTTTTAACCACTGTGTGTACCAAACCTACCATAAACCTAGGCTGCAAAAATAGGAGCCATGGACAAACAGGAAGGACAATAGAAAGAGTGATCAGAAATAAGACGTAGAAATTGGTTTGCAGTTATCTAATTAGCAGTACATGTGGAAGAAGATGAGCAAAATCAAATCACTTTAAACAGAATACTGCTGTGGCTATGTCATGACATAGATTTTTCTCAGTGCCACTATATTAGGTCTAATTAAGATTGATCAGCCTTAAAAAATTGAAATATTTAAAGCCTATGAGGAAGATTTTAATTTCCATTCCTGCATATAAACCAAAACACCTTACCTGTAGCATGCCTGTAATTGATTTTAAGACACTGATCAGAAACAACCATTTTCACAGTGGGCTTTTAGTGATTAGCAGCATTCACAACACATGACACTACCCAGGTGGTTTGGCTTCTTTCCTTTTCCTTACATGTCCTTCAAACACTAACGTTAGTTCAAGGATCATAAGAGTAATTTGAAATTCTCTCATCTTACCCAAAGGAGACCAACTCCTTTCAGCACAACAGTTTGTCCTAAAGCCTAATCTTGTCCTCCAGCCCTCAGCAGGAACTAAAATAGTCTCCACTTTCTTTCTGTCAAGAGTGCCCCCTGCCACACTCTTGTCCTAAGATCTTCCCTCTTCCAATTCCCATTATTCCAATTATAACCTTCCTTTCAGGGCAAGCTCTTCAGACCTTTCAGCTTCCGGGTCTCTCAGATTTTCACAATGCCTTTCTTAAGCACTTAGAGTTCATCTCATCAGACAATCCATCTGTGGCCAGCAAGAATCGTAGGGAGCAGTTCTCTGAACTGCTACTCTCTGTCTGCTTCAAAATTATCTCAGCCGTAGAAATGTATGGCTGTACATTGGATCTGTACTCTGGATCCATATGCTGGGGAAGATGAACCCAGTCCTCAGACCTTCCTGAACAGCCTACAGCATCTCTAGTAAATTCTATGGATTTATTTTAATAACTTGTTTTATGATAATTCCTTTTGTTGGGTCATGTTATAGAAGAGAAGGAAAACAATTTTGTTTGTGTGTTGCTTTATGTTTTGAGATAGTAATTTCTTGTTGCTTCCAGAAGAACTTGTGAGAGCTTTTTTTGTTCTCCTAGGAAACTTACCATTGCCTGAAAGCTGGTAATTCTCCTCAGCCAAAGGAAAGCAAACAGTAATGTGGAATAAAGAAGCAGTTCACGAGCTGTGAGTGCAACCTTTAAAAATGAGTTGGCAAATGCCGACAGTGGTGTTAAGCAATCCCAGCTTTCACTAATATTGTTTTCTCCCTTGGAGACATTCACTATGTGTGTTTTCATTGCTATAAAACACAACTAGACCACAGATGTAAATTGGCTTTTGAAGATAAGGGGGGGCAAGAAAAAGAAAAAGAAAAAATAACAGTCAAACAAACTCCAATACTGTTATTTTCAAGAGCCATAGGAGCATTTCTGCTCACTTTCATTACAGTTTTTTCCTTTTCCCTGTTGGCAATCACTCAAGGACTATCTCGCTATAGCAAGAGGAAAGAACCTTGTGTGTATGCTTTTTCATGTTTTTTTCCCATGATCCTTGCTCAATTGTGTTAGCAACTGACTTGTGATATGAAAGTTACGGTAAAATACTGGTGCTCTGCTTATTGAGTTTTTTTGCATGGATAATATTTTGCCTGGATTTTGATAATCAAACCTAGGTCTCCACTCACAGTAAATACAGCTGCAGATGGCACAGTAAGCTGCTACATTCCAAAATAACAGAAGTTCATTCTGAAATTCTTTGAATTCAAATGTTTTTCTTCTCTAGCTTTCCATGTACACTTTCTGTCCTATATATTTTCTCTAGATTCGGTGTGAGTGCCTGCAGAGATGAGCACTGCAGCAGTTCCTTTCTTGGGGGTTACCTGACTCATGGGTGTGTAAATATGGTGACTGTGGCATTCTCAGGATTTGGCAGCACACAAGAACACAGAGGTCAGGAGTTCTGTGAATTTCTTTGCTACACATTACAACAAAACTTTTACTAATAGTAGTAAAAACAAATATAAATATATGCTAGAAAACACTAGAAAATTACTATGAAAACAAGTATATATATTACCAGAGTGTGAAAAACAAGGTTCACATGTTTTTATATAGAATTTAAAAGTTTAATAGAAAGACAGTTAGGAGATAAAAATAAAGTATACAGATACAGCTGGGTGTCTTTGCATTCAGCCAAGAGAGCACACCTTACTAACAAAGGATTGTCCCTTAAAAAGAGGATCCTATTACATATTCATAAATTCTTATACATAATTCAAACATTCCTCTTAAGTTTTAGATGTTTCTTTGTTTAGTTTTTAACTCACCCCCTTCCCAATAAATCAATCTTCTTGGCTCCATTCAGTCTCCCACTCTCCAATAACAGAGGTGCAATAAATTCTTTTCCTGGAGGACTTGGAGGACTGCTGTTTTCATCTGGACAAGATAATCTAAGAATGCAGGGGTGTCTCTAACCATCTTTTTCAGTCTTTGGGTTATACAAAAAAAAGTAGTTTTTGCTTTAATACTATGCCATAGCTCAACATATATGTATTATACCACTATTTCTACGTTTCATCAATAACAGAAATAGAAGGAACTATATTAATACAATGAAGTTTTCTAACCTTATACATTATACCTTATACATATATAACATTCATTTTAATATTTGCAAAAAGCCAATATTAAAATATGTATCTATAACAAGAGTAAAGCAAATATAGATATATTTGAAGTTATTGCAGAATTACAATGAGTGAAACAAGGACATACTCACAAACTTTCACCTGTGTGCATGCCTATAAATATATTAAGCAAGGTGCTACCAGTATTACAGTCACCAAATCATTCTGAAGAGTGGGTCTAATTGACAATGGAGAAGAAGTTTTACTTCAAAGATCATCCGTATGCATCCCCAGCAAGGGCCCGGTCTGTCTGGGAAATCACCTGCAGAGAAGTTCATTTTGAGTAGTCAGCAAGTTACTTTTTATACCTTTATGGCATAAGTATGTGTGTGTACGACATCAGTTCCTACAACAGTTGTTACTGACTCCTGTTTTCATGGAAGGTCAGTTTCTTTGTCCTGCACCCATCAGGGATTCTTTGTTCTGCTGACTGCTCCCCATCAAGGAAGTTTGACTGAGTTTGTCAGGGTCTGAGTTTATCAGGCATGTCTTGGAGCTCTCACTAAGAAAGTGTGTTTCTTTGTTGCTGTTTGCTGGATTGCCTTTGTGAGGGCTGCACTCAGGTGCCTCAATGGTCAGAACTTCCATTTTGGTCAGAACTTCTGCGCAGTGAAGTGGAGGAGAGAGAGGAGCATGCAAAGGCAAAAGGTGCAAGGTGTGGAGTCCACACAGGGGTCTCCCTGGGCAAAAAGTACTTCGGTTCACCAACAGGTGTGCCTGGCTGAAATCAGCCTTGCTCTGCAAGCCAGGAGAACTGTGCAAGGCTATGTCTTTTCAAAGACTAAGGAGTCTAGGCCGTGTCTTATCAGGAATTAACAGTCTATTACCCAGCCTGAGCTGGGTATACACAAAGCTAAAACAACTAATCAGTGTAATGTTTAATGCTGGTAAACTTAGAGGGTTAAGATTAAATTTAAGAATGTATTTTATATTCAACTATTTTCCTCACCTCTTCCTGGTGTATCAAGTTACTTCATGCCCCAGGTAAAGTACCAGGCTCCAATATTGTACAAGTTTTAGAAACAAAAGTGAACATACCTCCCATATGCATCCTGCATTCAAATATTTCATAGTGAAAACAGGTGAAAATCATTTAAATAATTTGACTTCTCTCCACAGCAGCTGAAGCCTTTTTTTCTTGAAATGTCAAGGAAAAATAGAGGGTGATAGTATAGGAAGGTTGAAATCTTCCTGCCTCCCAGCATCCTACCAAAGAAACAGCTTCCTCTGAAGCGTCCAGACCTTTCTGCTGCAAAGTGTAGAGCGTAAATTAATACTATAGAAAGCAACAGAAATTCAGGTGCTGGAGTGTCTTAATTATACACCTTTCTGATTCTAGTGTCTCTCGCCTTTTTAACTGAGCTTAATCATTGATGTATTACTTATAATCATCCTTTTTATAATATTGCATCCCACTCACATCTTGTCCCATTATGCAAAGCAGGGCACAAACATCTGTGATTTACACTTTTGCCCTAAAGGGCATGGGATACATGTAAAATTAAAAGATATTACCAAGAGATTTATATGGGAGGACAACCTTGGTAATAACAATAAATGAGGACTTTGGTATGGTCTCCCAAGGGAGACAATGCAGTGTGTTCCAAATCCCCTGTTCTCAGATAAACCTCTTTATGTTTTGATAATTTTAATTTCATAGGAAGTATTACTGTGGCAACCTTTGTCTTAGACCTTCAAAGGTTATCAGATCAGCCAGACTTACATAAAGACAAGAAAAAGTTGAGCAGGACCTACATGGACAGCCTTCTCAAAAATTTGGTATTATCATGCTGAGTGAATGGCAAGAAGAGAGTTTTTATTAGTAGGAAGAAAGGAGGGCGAGTCAGATTTCTGAAGCGACATCTAAAAGCAAGATTAAGAAAAGTGAACTATTATTACAATGTATGGCAGGGCTTGCTTGCAAGTAGAGAAAGGTTTCTTCATGATTTCCTGCAAAAGACCAATCTAGAGTTTTGAGAACATGTTTGTGACAAACATTTGAACTGGAATCCTTACTCAAATTCGTCATTCAATGTTCATCGTGCTGCTGAGCGAGGGGGTGGAGCAGCATGAACAGCAGCCACAGCTTTGACTCAGAGGTTAACCACTGTTTTATGAGTGTAGCTGGAGAGAGAGAAACGTGTCACTCTTTCCATTTTTGTTCATTTCAATGGAACTCTCTGGACTTGGGGGCCAGGGTGTTATTGGTTGTCTACATGAAGTATCAAAAACCTATTAGATAATCAGGAGGACCAAGTGGGAGCAAATATTGTTTGAGGAATCCCGACCTTATTTACAGGATTCTAAGCAATCAAAATGGGATTGTCATTGATGTGGGTTTTGGGGGACTTTTTGTCTATCCTTTTGCAAAGAAAGCTTGTGACAGTAACCTCGTAACCTCCAGTTAGCTAGTTGCTTTCTTTCATGCCATATAATTGCTATCTTTTACTGATTTTATGAAATCCACTTTTGCTGATTTTATTAAATCAACTTTTGCTGATTTTGCTTTTTGCAATACTCTGCAATGATTTCAGACCCATCTCATTCAGCACTGCTCACAGCAGCCTTGACATTTGTCCCACTCAAAGTAAGCACACTGAAATGGCAAAGGGCGATGCCTGTGAGATTGAGCAATACAATCAGTCTAAGAGAACATGCTGACCACGTCAAAGATTTCTCCTTTGGGGCATTCCCTAAAACTGGTCCTAAATCACTGTCTGAGAGGCTTTTAGCTTGACCAGAGCATGATGTAGGAGGAGACAAAAACCTGGACCAGGGTCTAGCATTTAACTGGAGTCACACTTGCAGTTTGAGCTGATAGTAGTGTAAGCTATTAAACTGGTAATATAAGCCTCTCATGAGTGCTAAGGATGGAGTTTGAAAGTGAATTAAAATGGACAAAGCAGCTGTGCTTTTTCAATGCTTTTTTTTTAAATGCATTAAAAAGTTCAACTTACTGTAACGAGCAGTTCCATCTACACATCCAGAGTGGCCTCTCCAGGTCAAAGAGTAGCCACTCTTTTCAGAACTGGGAAGGTGATACTGTGCAAGGAAGCATCTTGGATCTTCCATCCTTGGAGCAAACAGGAGCAGCAGTTCTGAGCTCTGAATGCTCCCAGCCTCCTTATGGCCTCCCTTATGCCACCAGGTGATGAGTGAACTTCACATCCTCTTGATTTCAGTTTCCTGAGCTTCAGCCTTAAGTGGGGGAAGAGGAATCAAACCACAGCATATTGTTGGGGTTTTTTTCCTTCAAGGACACACCAAGGGTGGAATTTCACATTACATGCAGGCAAACTGGAAACAGTAATTTTTGCTCACGTGATTCAACCGTAAGTGCTCTCTTTATTTCCCCAGCCTTCATCTCTGCATTGTTGTTGCTGTGATGGTCAGAAGCATTGCAGGGAACAGTTGCAGGGTGATGGCATACTTGGGTGGAGGAGCAAACAAGACAAAGGATAGAAAGGACTGCAAGGGAAAGAACAGAGCTAAACGAAAGAAGCCAAATTTGTACTTTAGTTACACTGTCTCAAACATAGCTCTTATTGTAGAACAGACTTTATCTCCATTTTCAGAAAGTTAAGTGCACAGATTCAACAAGTTACAAAACTTGGGTTTTCCCTTGTTTATTTACTTAGCAGAAACTAATCAAAGCTTTTTTTGCTCTGTTCAAGAGCAGCTTTTCAAGGACATGGTTCAGTTTGCTGAAAACATTATAAATCTGACATACTTTTATGCCAACCAGGTGAGGTTGTTTGCCAACCAGGTGAGGTTGTTTACCAACCTCAAATACATCCGGTGAGGAAGGGAAGGAGCATGATTAGCAGGCTGTGTCCCAGTCAGAGGAGGTCTCCTGGCCTTCTAAAAGATTCTGGGCCTGGTACGTTCCTTCCTGGACCTCCCCATGACCTTGCTATCCATCCCAGCTGTTAACCTCAGAGGTTAATCATCAGGAAAGCCACAGTAGAGAAGGGAAAAGAAACATTGTGAGCAAGGCAGAGTTGTATGATGGCATTGATAGACTGCTGTGAAGGAGCTACTATTTAGGGAAGCTTTCAGAGGGTTACACAAAGGCAGTCATGTCTGTCACATCAAATATTGGACACAGTAGCAATCAGTGCTGCACTAAGGCAGTTCAGACTGCAACTGGAACATTTCTCTAAAGGTGGCAGCACACTGTACTTGGTCCTCTGTGGTTTGCCAGGCTTCCTGCCTCTCCTTGTAACACTCAATAAAGGAAGAACTGCCATGGTCATAAACAATAAAATTATCATCAGTACTTGCAGATGTTGCAAATTTGAATTTTGTTTAAGTGCTTTATCAATTTTTTTCAGCTCAACATTTTCAGATATTTGACAGTATTTGTCAATCTAAGTCAAACAGGATGCCAATTTCCTGGTTATCTACAATAGATACAAGTTAGTTCACAGCTATGCTCAACTCTGGGCCCACATATGCAATATGAATGTGACCCATGTGTGGACTAGCAGCTGGGACCCATGGGCAGATGCTACTTTTCATTCCTAAAGCCATATTGCTCAAGCATCCCTCATTCTGAAGAGATGGGAGCCACTTGTGGTCCGTGAATTTAATGTATCTCATCTTTGCTTAAATTTTTAAGCATTCATTATTTCATAATAAGTAAATATTATTTCATAATAATTTCATAATAAATATTTCAAAATAATTTTATTGTTTAGTTGATAATAAGTTTCTTGATGCTAATTTATCTGAGATAGGTAAGTTTTATGGTGTGGTCTTTTTTCTTTTTTTTTGTCAGTGTTGTCAGCAGCTATAAAGAGCAAAAGACACATTCTTGTCTCCCAATCCCCATATACCTGTCTCCTGCCAATTCTCCCCATGTTGTTTCTTTCTTCCTACAAAAGTGGCTAATACTAGTCTCCCTGGCTAGACAATCTTCACCTGTTTCAAAAATTTATTCTCTTTATCAGATTCTCTTTCCTACCCACTTTTTGTTGTTGTTGTTGTTGTTATTCCTTCAAACTGCTCACCAGAATATGAATCACTTGCTCCTAATCCAATTTTAATGGGAGTTAGTTCTCTTCTCAGTCTTAGGCTCCATATTCAGTCTGCCCCAGTTCTCCTACTGTGCAGGCACACCTCTCAAACTCTTCTTTGAGATTCGCCATGTGCTTCTTTCTTTCACTTCTTTCCCTCTGGCATAGGTGTAGGTCCCTGTGCACTCAGGGAAATTAATTCCTGCTGCCCATTTTCCAGCTGTGGGATTAGCACAAACATCTGAGAAGAGACCATGTTTACTTCTCTTAGTAGTAGCTGTCAGCTGGATTGTCATATGACTCGAACCTCCAGAGAGTGGCCCAGCTTAGCTCAGTGATGAGGGTTCTCTTCACTCGGGTTTCAAGCCAGCATATGTTTTTTCTTCAGAAATTCAAGTCTATCAAGTGAGCAAAGGAATCGGGGTGGGGGACTCTCTCTCTGGTTTGCATTCCACAGTTTATTTCTGTGAAGGGGAATCCAAAGGACGAGAGACAAAGGATTTGGGGTCTGGGGGGTCTCTTTTAACAGGGTTTCTTGGAGGGGAGGGAACATCAGAGAAAGACCCAATTATTTTTCTCAGTTAGTACATCTTACAAACTTTCTACAAATCAAGGTTACACACACCAAGATAAGAAATAACAGACACCAACTTCTTCAAATGCCCACAAAGGTGTAGGAGTATTCTCCACAGAGGGGCAGAGGGGGAGAGAGGGGGGGCTTGGTTTCCTGGCAACACAGGGGGGAAAGAAAGGGAAGGCAAGGTAAGCATGCCCTCTTAGCTTCCATAGCTCAGAGGCATTCTGGGACAGGAAAAACAGAGTTACAAACCTCCATGTTGGAAAGAAGGGCTCTCTTCTCCCAACCCCGTGCTTTCCTGGGCTAAAGAAACTTCAAGCAGCTGGAAATGCCAGCGGGGTCCTCTCTTTACTCTATCCGGCCTCTCGCAGTGGGGCTGAGGAGAGAAACTTCAGTAACCATGGTAACTTGACGCCAGGTAAACAATAGGAGAAAGAGAAGTGGGGGGGGGGAAATCACAACTAAAAGAAGGGGAAAAGATATATTTCAAGCTATCAACTACTAACATAAACCAACTTAACATTCTAACTCTACCACAACAGTCATGTAGTAAATACAAGGAGATGTTCAATTTTCTTCTTAGACTGAAGAGTTCTGTTGCTCCACAGACTTGTTCTGTCTCTCAGCACTGAAAGACACAAAGCAATGGACCATGTTCACTAAGGCTGAAATCTTGAGAACTGTAGGTTGCTAAACCTCAAGACTCTCTTGAACACCATATTGGCCAATTTTCCATTTTGTATAAAAGCAGCAATTTGACATTTAACATCTGACATCATCTCACTGTATTTCTCAAATACATTCCATAACTGAGCTAACAGCACTGACTATTTTATGTTTTTGTTTCAAAGTTCCTAATTTCTCATAATGATGAAATCAAGATTAAACAAATCAGAGAAGAAGAATGGTAAGGCAAACCTGAGGCAAAAAAACGAAGAGGGGAAAAGAAGTGTTTTGAACCTGTAAATAATTGAGGATATGAGCGGAAAAATGGCCATGTGTGCATAGCTTTATCAAAGAAGCAATATAAAACATAGAGAAATAATAAAGAATTGGCAGAAACAAAAAAATTGTTTAAGGAATTCACAGAAAAAGGTATCATAAGAAAAAGAAAAACCCAAAACATTCAAAATTTCATAAAAAATAGCTGAATATATGAAAGATGAAAAATGTAATTTTATTTTATGATTATAAAAATAAAAGAGTAAAGTGGAAAAAAACAGAGGAGAAGGAAAGTGATAACTGCAAAAGGAACATTGATGATGTTTCTGAAGTGTTTCAAAGTATTGCCATAAAGCTGCAACTTTCTAAGAAGACATCAAAGGACATGCTTGAAGAGGAAGTGAGGCATGTGCCTTTGTGGTTTGCTGACCCAATTAGTGATGAAAATTGTCTTGATTTAGTAAGCAGGATACATGCCTTTATAAATCACTGTCTTAAATATAATCAGCAGTTTACCCATTTTAACAACAGAGCTGTGATTCTTTGATGCTTGGTTGTACTTTCTGTTGAAGAAAGCTTGTTGGGGTATTTTTCTCATACAGGGTGCTAAGCAAGCTAGTATTTTTGTATAAGTGCCCACTTCACAATGTCTGTACTAAAAATAATAGACTGTTTTCACTAGGTGAAATGCTTTGTGAAGTCTTACAGATCAGATTCAGTGTTCATTTTGTGTAGGTCAGTATTGAATAAACAGCTGAGCCATCTTAAAATACAAATGGTTTCTTACCTTAATTTTACAAGAAAATGCAGTGAAGTATGCCATCATTTAGTCTAAACTCAGGAGGACAGCAAAGGTCTGCTCAAAAGGATTAAAAAGTTCTTCCTTTGCCTTCCAGTGAGCATAAGGTCAAAGCTGCATGATTAAAACAAAAATAGTCATTTTAATCTGGAATTTGTTTTCATAATTACATAAAATCACATTATATAATAGTTTTTGGCAATCAAATGAGATCATTTTTGTACAATATAAAATGCAGCTGTTCAGCAGAGAGGGATTTTGTCCAGGCCATAACAGGCACTACTTAAATCATGCAGTGACATTGCCAGTATTCAACTACTTTGGGCTAAACTTTGAAACTTGTGTCTGAAATGATTGTCATCATCCCAACCCTTATACATCCTTTTCCTCTCTCTTTCATGCCTCACAATTTATAAACCCATGCATAAATTAGAAATATTTCTAAGTCAGTTAGAAGTTGGAAACTGTCATTTTCACTCTATGAGTGAAGCAAATATGAGCAGCTAAGGTTGTTTTGACATTTCTGGATAGTGCTGGCTTAACCTCTTCACATTTCTCTCCCTCATTTCCAGGCAATTGGAAAAATATATAACAATGAAGGGATGTGCTGAAGGTTCCTGTTTTATCTTCTTCTTCTGTGTGTGGCTGGGAAGAGGAAAAGATGCTGCCAAACCATCTTCCTCTGTTGTCAAGTTTGCATATTTTTTAGAATTAGATTAGATTAGATTAGAACAATGGCATTCAACTTGACAGCAATTCTCTAGCTGCCTAAAAAATTGCCAATGTACCTAAATATTTCCCTAATTCTGACAATATTTACATCCTTTGCAGGTAATTTTTTAGTTCTCTTAGAGCTTCAGAATTGAGAAAGTGACACAGTGCTCCTTGTCTTCTCACACTGTGCATCTCTGCCCTAATGCAGGGGCCCTGGAGGTGTCCCCAAGTTGCCAAGTGAGTGGCACTCCCAGCCTGATGCTTCTTCACAATGTGCATCAGCTTACTCTTCCCTATAACCTGCTTCAGCCTTGTAAGGGAAACAGGGGTTTCCTGAGAAATTCCACCTCAAACTGGGGAGAAAATTTGCACCTCCTAGCAGTTAAATCTATACACACCTTACAAAGCTGAGCAAAAATCTCTGCTGTTCCATGATAGCCCAATCCTGACAGAACTGACCATACCTAGACTGGCTAGGGGTGGAATGTATTTGGTCTATATGGCCTGGGTTTTGGTAGCTGGGGGGGCACAGAGGTGGCTTCTGTGAGAAGCTGCTGCGAGCTTCCCTACAGCAGAGCCAGTCACTGGCAAGTTGGACGTGCTGCTGGCCAAGGCTGGGCCAGTTAGAAATGGTGGTAGTCCCTCTGTGATAACATATTTAAGAAAAAATCAAAACAAACATTGTGATGCAGTTTTAGCAGGGACTAGAGAAGAGTGGAGTGAGAACACGT